GCACAAAGGCAAAAAAGTCAGTATACAATTAATATACTTTTAAAATTATCTGGAAGTATTTGAATCACACATGTTCAGAGGGACTTCCACGTTATCTTTTACAAACTGGCTCACCTATGAGGAATGTTATTGTAAACCAACTTTTTTCCATGTGCGAGAAATATCTTGAGTTTTGTGACCTTGTTTTACTCTCAAATGTTACTTGTAGCAAACTGTTCACTGTGGAATCGTCATTGTTCCTGGGGGACCAATGTTCGTGGATTTTGTCGGTCACCCTTACCCATGAATTTACATCTCCATGAGTGTTTATTTTGTAAACATATTGATTAATTGAATCTACCATGTAAACGAGTAACCCACGAAATTACACCCCTGGCCAATGAACAAGTAAAATTTAGCTTGAATACAAAAAATCGACCCCAATGAATTAAAATGATTCCACAGTATTTTATTGTGTATTTAGGTAGTATATTTCCTCATTTGCAAAAATTAGTTGTCTTGGATGATTTAAAACTTGCATAATGCGAATAAAAACTGTCGCAAATAATTATTGGTTACAGCATGTTATTGATAAATGAAAGATGAAGATTTCCATTATTTTTAATCATGAAGATTTCAAACTATTAGGACTGCCGTGTTGACTTTGTTTTAGGATGTTTCTGTGCCTCTTTGCTGGAGGTCAGCCTCAACAGCTACCCAAAGGACTAGGGGAGGGGGACACAGTGTCTAGTCATGCCTCATTCACAGACAAAAGGTACAGTTAGTTGGAGTAGAAAGGCTACGAAATTCAATCTTGCATGTATTTTTAGCTGAACTAGTAGATGATGAGTAGAGCTTATGGGATGGTACTGTAGATTCCTAAATATATGCGAGGAAAATATTATCTTATAATTTCGCGAGAAGCTCAACTCACAAAATTAAATTACTCCCTTTTACATGTATATTTATGGTGATTAAATGTATGTAAAATCTCTAGATCAAACGAGCACTTGAGAATTATTGTTTTCGCGATTTGACGTCCTAGGTCCATTTTGCAATATTAGGTATTCATGTAAAATAAGGAATCAACAGTATCATATCTGTAATACATGTGTGTTAGTTTTTAATTTTGATGAATAGTGTTGCAGTTGAAAATAGATTGAGTAAAATTCTTCCAAAACACCACTCCTGAGGCTCCTCCAATAGTTTTTGGTGCAGTTTCAATAAATATTTACTCAACTAAAATAGAAATTTCTTTAAAATTCTTTAAACAAGTACACCAAGACTAAATATTATATAATTACATCAGTTTAAGATCTTGAGTGGTATTGCCATGGCTACAAAAATAAATATTTTTTTTACAATGCTTCCTGTCCTGCAGGTTTAGGTTGGTATCAGTAAAACTTTAAAAATCACTGAGAAGTTGTAAACGTACAAAAATTAGAGCACTCAAAATTTAGCACAATCTCACTCTTCAACTGATTAGTGTAATCATAAATTTGTGCGCTTGAGTGTCAAAAAAGAGGAGTATTAATGGTTTATATTATGTATTAGCATGGACATGAATGAGCAGGCATGAAGCACAACAAAGGGCCCTAAAATATGATTATTAAGAATGTTTATAGTAATTGTATGAAAATAAACAAAATAAGAGTTTAAAATCCAGGTGCAATTTTTCTCCAATACTTTGAAATTACTAACTTTTGTGGGAAGTTAATTTTTGTTTTCGTGATATGAAGAGAAACACTAAATAAATTCAGGTCACCAACAAAATGTTAAAAATTCAAACTATAGTATATAATGTTTCTCCTTCAACCATGAAATCAGATCCCCTCAGACAAGTAATTTTTCCTCATATCACAAAGATGTACAAGTATACAAGCCAGTAGACTTATGGATTCATTAATTGGAGAGCTGGTTTATTAAGTTGTGGAGGGTAATAACATTTTTGTCTCGTCAGTTCAGAAGTCCTGCACTTGTCATCACAACTCCTCTGAAATAGCTCAACAGAATTTCACAAACCTTTGTTATTAATAAGGACATAATATTCACTTGAAATTCCATTTTGATTTTTTTTTTCTGGGAGTTATGCCCCTCTTGAACTTCAAAGTTTGTCTTCCCTCAGTCCTGTTCTTGTTGCACAATTCCTCTTAAATCAATCAACAAAATGTCATGAAACTGTGTAGTTAATATGGACATACTATGTAGATGTGCATATTCACAGGAAATTCTGATTTAATTTTTTTTCATAGAATTATGCCCTCTTTTGAAGTGAAGGTAGAAGTTTGGCCAAAATATACTAATTTTGTGTAACTTGTGTGAAACACATGCATCATGATTGTAAATGATAAAGTTTTAGAAGCTGTTTTGCTTGTTTGAAAATGTTTTATTCAGTGTACCTATAATTGGATATAATTATAAACAGATGTGATCCTGATGTGACAAAGGGAAATGGGGGGGGGGGGGGTTATTTGTTGTATGTAAGGCATGCCCTGTAGCATTACCATTTTTATGTGTAGCATTGTCAAGCAATGTGGGAGCATAGGGTATGTGAACCTGCTCATTATTTCTTTAATTTAGATACAACATTTTAAACTTAAGTATATTGTATTTCATATCTAGTTTTTTTTTTATATTAATGCTGGCTCTTTTATTCTGTGCTTCAGACTTATATCTGAAATATCAGAGGTGTTTCCCACCTAATAGTTTAAACAGCTATCAGAGTAAAGTATAAAAATCTTTACAATAATTGTGAATGCATCCTTATTTAGTGAATTCTTTATTTTACAGAGAGAGAATGAAGAATATGAGAGGGAAAAACCCCAAGAGCAACCAAGACTGGATTCTGGCAAAGAAAGAAAGAAGACGGCGACAGGGAAAGTAGGTGTATTTCATTTACTGCTGGCATTTTTATCTTCTACTATGATATTGTATTTTAGTTTTAAAGAGGCTGGGGATGAGAAAAAAAAAGACAGACTTGTAATTTACCAGCAATACACAAGTGTATGGGTGTCAGTTTGGAATCATACTCATTTACTGGTAGATAACATGTCACAAAAACTCTGTGTAGTCATTTTCAAGCTGACTTTAGCCCCTTAACAGTAGAAAACATGATTACTAGAAATATACAATCCATGTATGTCATAAAAATATCAAAGGATAGGGAAGGACATAAAATTCCAAATTGAAACCACTCATTGATTTACAAGCCTGATGTATAAAGATATCACAGTTTTTTTTCTCTCTAAAAATAGTACTCATCTGAATGCTATCTCTGTAGACTTTGTGAATTTTCAACTCAATTCAATTCATAGTACATGTGGTATATTTTTAAAAAATATTTTTCAGAGAAGTTCGTGGAGATTCAAAGTACACAGGAAGAAAGAGAAAAGATCGGTTTTAGCAGTATAGGTTTATATTTGAATGACGAAAGAAAGATCCTTCAACTGTTTCAAATGATTTCAAGTTACACCAACTACCAGATAAAGAAAACAAAACATTTGCAAATGATGAAGAGCAACTTCTTTTTTAGTTTTTGGTATTTAAGGATTTGATTTTCGGTGAAACAGATTGTGAATATTCACATGAAGACATCAATGTAAAGAACATCTGTGAAGTACATGTGCGTGTATGTGCTTTTTTGTTAAGTTTTCAGAATAAAATCAATACTGTTAATGTACCGGGTATGTTTGTTATAAAAATATACTTTTATCAGGTGATGATGAGATGCAAACAAATTACTTTGAAAAGCAGTCTTTGCAAAAATGCAAAGAAATTGTTTTTGCAAATTGTCACTCATATTATGATGTGTTGTTTTACACTTTATATGCCAGCTTGGAACGATAAGAAAACTATGTATTACATACATTGAAAACTAATATACTAATACGTGTAATTATGATGAATATTGATGGTGTTTTTCTGTGAAAAATATGCAGGGATTAAGGTGGATTATAAAGGAGATGGGTGAACAAGGCGTACAGAATGCCTATAGACTCAGATACATTATATAAAAATCCTATTCAATTTAGAGTAAAGTTCTCATTTATATTGAAATTTATGAAATTATGATAAACAACACTTTTCTGAGAAAAATTTTCTTGGCAAAACTTTTTCTGTTATTAAAAAATGATGTGGTACTCACAGGGTTTGAACCCTAGCAATAAAAATCCCGAGTATCATTTTCTTTTGAGACCAACACATTAACCACTATGGTACACAACTCTTAATGAAAAGTGGCATTTAAATAATGTTTGTGATATAACCCATGACCAAAAGGACTTTATTTCTCAGAATGTTCTGTATTTTTAAGGTATAGTGGATCTTTCCTCCATGTTTTTGTTAACCAAAAAATGTATATTTTTATGCAAACTTTGAGGATAAACTTTCAAAAAAATGGAGCAAAGACCCACTCATATCGAAAAATTGTGTGAAAGTATGAAAAAAATGATCCTGTTTGTCCTCTCTAGTGTGTGTATGCTATTTCACTTTTTGTAAAGTATCAACTTCCCATATTTTTTATTACAAATTTACATGTATGGCCTCAGTGGGAGCCAGTTTTGTTGCTAAAGCCTCGTTTCCCAATGTCCTTTAGGTAATGTGCAATATTTTTACCAATGTAAATTTTCAATAATTTCCCATTATTAAAAAAAAAATGGGTCAGGACAGGAATTGTATATTTTTCTGACAATGACCTTGAACTTGTCTAACTGGCCTTTGGTTATGGTCAATGCACAATTTCAGGCCATAAGAAGCATTGCAGTTGAATATAAATATCAATGTTTCTCATGAAAATAAAGATCAAACACAAATTTTCTTTTTCTACCAGTGACCTTGAACTTTGTCCAAATGACCTCAAGACATATTTATGTTTATGAGTTTTCAGTGTCAATCTCCATTACAAAGACACTCACTGTATATTATTGCGTAGATGGTAATTACGACAAAGGCATGATTTGCACAGATGAAGTGATATCCTTCATGTATTTTGGAGGGGATGATAATAAGGCACTTTTTTAATTATGTTATACAGATTTATTGTAAAGTAATATTTCCTAAGATGTACAGCTGTAATGAAATTTCATTGATTTGAAATAAGTCCATGTACACATTTTTGCTAATTTAACAATACTACACTGTAGTAAATGCATTTACACCCACTAACCATATTTTGCTTTAAAATTTAAATACATGTAAAGCACTTTTTTTCAACATTTCCTAGATTATATCAGATACACTGAATCACACTCTACATACAAATTCTCTGTCAGAAGCAAAAGTGAAGACAACACATGAAAGTTTACTGAATACATGTAAATCACTCATTTGATAAATGCACTAATAATAAGCGTGTAGTTGATTATTGCATCAGTACAGGAAGTGATGATAGGTCTGGATGATTTAAGCATGATCTATTGGTCCTAGTCTTTCACCAAGAGTTTCTCAAACCTTGACAGCCATCCATCAGCACTGGATCTATCAATAATCAAAGGGAAATAATCCTTTATAGTCAACCATTTCAACAAGTAGTATATTGTACGTGTATGTTGTATTAAATAAGAAATCTGTGTTTTAAGTAAATTGCAGGAATCACTTTGATAGCAATACACCTACATGGAAGTTTAAATGATAATTGATTCTACTGATATATAATGGCAATATATATACAGAAAAAAGACTTTTGGAGAAAAGCAGTTTAAACATCATACGGTCTTAGTACTCAGTATATCTTAAATAAATCTAACAATTGCAAGGACGGGTTGTTAAAAAATTACATAATTTATTCATACTGGACCTCAGTGTTGAACATTATGTTTCGATTCTAATAAACTTTATGGAGTTCGTCTTTAAAGACAATGTACATTATTTTCCCTTAAAGGTGCTTAGACACAGATTTGAACTTAATATTTTCTAAAATTTTCTGTATAATGTCAAGACTTATATATTGCAATAGCATTTCACACGAAAATATAATTAAAAACTTATTTTATCTGGAAATTATTGGAACTACGAATTCTGGGACGTGTTTGATTAACACATCTTTGCACTTACACAAATTTTAACTTCATCCTTAATTTTTTAAGAAAAGAAGCGATTTTGTTATGTATAAATGCGAAATATTACATCTATAATCCAGAAAATTCAGAGTAGAAATGTTCGAAAGCAAAACAAACTCACCAGTATTGTCGGTCCGTGCTCTGTGATGTGTACGGACTTTAACAAATTGAACACACCTGTGAAACGTAAACTGTTTTTGTAAACAGGGCATGAGCTCTGTTATTGTTAATGTCTACGATTCACCGGGTGTGTTCAATTGTTAAACTCTGCACACACCACTGAGCACGGACTTACAATACTGTGAGTGGGTTTTGCTTTCGAACATTTCTACTCTGAATTTTCTGTGTTGTAGTTCTAATATTTTTCATTAATACACAACAAAATTGCCACTTTTCTTAAGTATTTAGAAAAAAATTAAAATATGTGAAAGAGCAAAGATGTGTCAATCCAACTCGTCCAGAAATAACTTCGAGATGAAATAAGATTTTTATTATATTTTAGTATGAAATGCTATAGCAACATATAAGTCATGAAATTATACAGAATATTTGAGAAAATATTAACTTCAAATCTGTGTCCAAGCACCTTTAAAGGAGTTCACTTCTGAAGATGTAAATATATAATCTACACTTACTGGACTTCACTTTTTAGGATCTTTTCTCCAATCAGCATCATATCAGCAATGCGGGACACAAAAGGGTCAAAGTTCAAACTTGCAGCTGCCACAACCTCATCTCCTCTTTAAAAAACAAATTGCCAAACAAATGAAAATCAGGAATAAATAGGCAATATATTACAATAATGTTTTCTGTTATTCAATGAATTCCTTTCAATTGGTAATTTTAAGGACATGTATTATGTGATGGCCATGTGATCAGCTTACTTTGTGTAGTAGGCGATGAACTTTGGAGCATCGAGGTCTCCATGTACAATGATGTCATCATATCCTGGACCATAATCTTGATAACAAAAGTCAAAAACAAAAGTCACAGCTAGCACTACATAAATGTCTCCTAGAGTAAAATAGTCCATAATTTAGCACATTAAGCATGATCTGATGTACATCTAAAATGGAGTCAATAGATTATGAAATTACTTTCTCAAGAAAATTCTCTTGTACATGAGTATCATACTTAATATATACCTGTATGTATTACTGATGGAAGAATAGTCTCTATGTTCTTTGGGGCACAGAGAGGACAAGTACTGTAAATCACATTTTATTCATGCGAACTTTTTTTTTTGGGGGGGGGGGGGGGGGGTAATTATGCAAGACCCTCTGCTTGAGAAAATTTTATTCAAGATATTAAATTTATCATTGAAAGACTATGATATGTTCTGACTATTAGGTGAAACTTGCTGGATTAAATATATCTGTTTCACATGAAACCTGTTTTTAAGCCAAGCGGTTTTGTTATCAGATGTTTACAAAAGATAAAGACCACATCACTTTAAGGACTGGTAACTTATTCTCATTTATCTCCTCTTTTAATCATTTTAGAAGGACATAAACATGTTACAACACCAATTCTATGAGCTTTTTTCATAGTCACTACATATTTAAAATAGTCACCTGTGTAGCGAATACTTTTCTTATACTGTACTGTCCAAAAAAATGGCACACTTCTAATTTGTTCATCTCTTCCCAAAATTCCAAGGGCTGCTGTTTTTCCTAGAAATAAAATACTTATATTACTTAGATAACATTTGTTAACAGTGGCACAAGTATTTTCTGTATGTAATTTGACTTGTGTTGTTTTGTGACTATAATAATGTAACAAATAAATGTAAAAGAAGACTGATTGACCATACCATGTGCATGGGCCATCTGCCAGTGCTGGACATTTACTTTTTGATCTCCAACACTGAAGAGTGGGAATTCCACGATGTCACCAGTTGCATAGACATCTTGTTGATTTGTCTGCATCATCTGAAAAGCAAAATCAAGAGTACATGTAAGTCTGTTCTTGATGGGATATGTTTACATTCCATTTCTTTCCATCAATAAAAACTCCTTTTTTCCACAAATACATCATTTTTCTTTGCTTCTCTCCTATTTGCAAATCTAAATTAATAATATTATAGTCTTAGTTACTGTTACCTACTTTATTTACTGGAATGAATCCTCTGTCAGTCATTTCTATACCAGAATCTTTAATGAAATCAGTAGCAGGAACCACACCTGCAAAAGAGATTTTAGTCTCAAGTATAATACAATTGAGTAAATTAATAGTAATCCAGCTTGCACATAAATATGTCTTTAGATTTTATGGGAGATTCCTGTTACCCTTACCTACTCCCATAATGCACACATCTGCTGGTAGCTTTGTGTCATCAGATAAAACAGCTTCAGTCACTTTACCATCACTCCCCACAAATTCCTTGATCCCCCTCTCAAAATAAAACTTCACTCCATTGTCTTCATGCATCTATAAAGAATATTATCCAGAAATAAGTTTTAAAAGCATTGTTGAACAAAAATGCTGTTACAAAAATCAAAATTTAACAAGAGGCCCATGGGTCACAATGTTAACCTGAGACACCTTGGAGCTGCTGTTCTTTTGAGCAGAGGCCCAACCCTTCCCCCAGGGACTATGACTGAAACACTACTTGAGGATTCTTGCATATTAATATCACTTATCATGGACTTGTAGTTCTTGAAAGATTTTTCTCTATAAATATACTCCCATGTAAAACGTTGATCCTCTTGTAGCCCAATCTTGTACCCCAGGGGGATCATGATTTTAATAAATTTCAGTCTATACTACCTGAAAAGGCTTCCATATTAATACATGTATCAATAATCATGGCCCTGCTGTTCTTTACAAAAAGCTTTTTTAAAAGATTTTTTTCTATATATTCTCCCATAAAACTTTGATAACCTATTGTAGCCCCACTCTACTCCCAGAAGCCATAAATTGAACAAAATTCAATCTGCACTAAACCAAAAATGAGGGTCAATGCACTTCTTTCGGCGTTACGGAGCATTTAATATGACCTCTTTGCACTGTAATTACGTCTAACACATAAATCAATTTTTCAAAGTTTTTCCTCTAATATTTTTAACCAAATAAATGATGGGAACAAATGCAGTCTTTTTTTGTCTTGAATAGTCTCTATAAATTTTGTGACAACAAAAAAAGTTTCAAATTACTTCGCATAGTCAATTATTTGACCTTTTTGCACTCAAAAAATGTCATTTTTCTGGCATTAAAAATTTAACAAGCAATAAAATCATTTGAAAGTAATGACATTTTTCTGAGTTTAAGCAGAATGGTTAAAATTATCTTGTTTATTCAGAAAATAAGATTAAAAGTGGGGGTCTGTGATGTTAATTTTTAGAAATAACTAAAATAGTGCTAATTTTGAGCCTAAAATGGGCTATTTTGCCCCCAGAACTTTCACAATATATTTGTTATATTTGACCTATTTGATGACAGAATTCATAACGGTTAATTTAATATATTATTTAGGACCAGCACAAAACATTTCACTGCTCAAAATAACTTTGTGTGCAGGCTGCATGTAAAAATAGGAATCCAAACTTAACAATACTGTAAATAATTCGAATGAGGAAAAATTGATCATTTTCTTCTATAAAACCTTCCGCCACAAAATATAGTTCCCAACTTAATGCTTTCAGTATGGTATTTAATCATGGGGTTTTAATTGTATATAGTTAAATTGGCATTGCAGAATCCAAATTTATTGTAAGAACTAAAACATTATGCAGAATTTTTTAGATAGAGGTTTACACAAAAATCTGCCCAAAAGCTCAGGAACGAACCTCCTTAATACATGAGTAATCATGGTTCTGCTATTCTTGAGAAGAAGATTTTTACAGATTTTTCCCTATATATTGCTTTGTAAAACTTGATCTTCTACTTTGGCCCCACCACATCCCTTTGTGGCTATGATCTGAACAAATTTGAATCTGACGATACTTGCACATTAATAAGACTAGTCAAGGCCCTGCTGCTCATGAGGAAAAAGTTGTTAAAGATTGTTTACTACATATATTTTGTTTGTTAAACTTTGATTCCCCTATTGTGACCCAACCCTACCCTACCCCCTGGGACCATGAACACTATCATGTAAGATTCATTTCTACTGGCTCAAAGGTTCTTGAAAAGCTTTTTATATAATCCCAGACTATAATTGAATTTTCTAATTTATCTCCCCTTGGAATGGGACATGGCCCTACATTTAGACAAATATGAATCCCCTACACCCAAGGATTCTCTGTGCTAAGTTTGTTTAAAATTGGCCCATTGGTTCATGCCCACAATGTCGATAGACGACCAATAAACCTTGATCAGAAAAGCTTTGGCTAAAGTGAGCAAAAAAGAGTGTAATTAAATTTTTAAGTATAAAATGTAAACTTGTATATTTTACTTCTGACAATAATTTACATTAAGGAGTGACTCAGAGGTTTGCTTCATTTTTCTTGGTAATTATTTACTTTAAGTTATTTACAGTTGACAGATAAGTTAGGAAATTATTTTAATTAATTATTAGTTTTGTCCTTCAATTTGAAAAAAAAAAATTCACTTTGAGAAACTGCAAAAAAAGTTTGAGTCAGGGTCATTTTTCTGAGTGTAAGGCAGAGAAAGGGAATCTAACAAAATCTAATTTAAATATCTTAATAGCTTATCTTGGAATCTTATAAGGAATGTGATCTATAAATATAGCAAACAAAGTGGACAGCAAGACAATCATTTGATAAAAACATACAAGTACAATGTATTTGCTATAAATGTAACTGAAATTTTACCTTTTTAAGCAGGGCGCCAATTTTTAATCCTAGAATATTTTGAAATGGGGCTTTTCCTCTAACTAACACTGACACTGAACTAGCTTTGTCTACTAAACAAGCCGCTACCTCCATCCCTAAGCAGAACAGTTCTCAGTTAAATTTAATACACATTGATTCCAGAAATGAATGCAAGGAATATTTTGAAATAATTTTTTTTTGGAAAGGGTTGTGTGCAGTAAAATGTTGAGATGAACATGTACTAGAAATATAGAAGACTGTGTTTTGAATATTTCAAATGCCTCATAACTTGGGTCTGCAAAGATTATCTAACAGCTAGATAATGCATATTTTGATAGATGAATGATTTTCATATTTTCATTCTTTCAATGCAAATTAAACTGTCAATAAGAAGAATTCCACATGGCATTGTTCCTGTTATTTACACAAGGCAGACAGACTCATATCCATACGTGTATGTCTAATACACTGAGTATTTAATTTTTTAAATACTTGACTATTGAGCTGAAGCATACTAAATGCACCAACAAGACATCTGCACAAGACACTGTCCACCTTGTTTATCAGTATCTTAATTGGTACATGACTAATTCATGCTATCCAGTATTTAGTTCTCAACTTTAAAACATCAACCTACACTTTGGTAAATAATAGTATGCTCTGCATTTTGGCAATAAATAAGTACATATGAAAAGAACATAATTACATGTAATAGTGCATGGATTTTAAAAGCATGATAAACTGTCTGACCAAATGTGCAAGTGATAAAGATTAAGAATAGTGCAGTGTTTATTGTGAATAATCATGAGGAAAATCAGTGCTAACATTCTCAGTGAACAATATAGATATATGAGAGTAAAGCACCATTATGCTGCAAGACACAAACAAATGAATCCCATCACCAATGAATCAGCCCTAAACCTAGAAGACAGATTTTCTTGTGTTCTATATATTTTTTGTTTTCTGATTTCATTATTTATATCTTGTAAATATCTTATCAATTTTAAAATACAGAGTATAAATGAATTTTTTTATTGTCTTTATCGCAAAACTATTGCTTCACCTCACTTTTCATACTACACGTACAAAAGTAATGCAAATGAAGCCCTTTATAAGGCCCAGCTCTTCAAGATGCTCTAAATTTTAAAATCAGGCAAAAAGGATCAGAATATTAAAAGCAAACCACTGAATTTATAGAATATCTGTGTCTTCAAGGTTTTAATATGTCACTTTGCACCACTAAAGAAGCACATAAACAAGAAACTAAGCATTAGGTGGTACCTTCTGTAAAACAGATCCCACTTTCTCTCCGAGAACCAGGTGGAAGGGGACTTTGATTATGTCCACCACTGAAACAGTGGCAGCAGTGCCAGCTAGTGCAGATGCCACCTCCATTCCTGTTCAAGAAATTCAACCTAAGTTACCACACCATTGGCCTGCTTTACTTATGCAACAAATTTAGCCAGCATCTACAAGCGTCTACCTCAGTAATTCTTATTATTTGTTGTGGAAAAAAGTCATAAAGATCAATGTTGGAAGTGATGTTCTATCTAATGTACTGCAGCAGTACCTCACAAATAATTCTGCTTATAGAAATATTAATCTTTAAAATTGTCAGTCGAACTAAAAACAGTACAATTAATATTGGAAATGGACCATATCTTAGCATTAATTATGATAACCCTATGGTATACATAGTATGTTCACTCAAAATGTGGAAACCATGAAAATGTTCCTTGCATTCATTTAATGAAATGCTTTGAAAATCAGTTTTACATTTGTAATATACCAGATACAAGTTTTAAATTTTTTTTTAAATTTTGACTAAAAGTAAACACTTGATGAGCAATGTTACAGAATATATCAGAATCTTTAAATTATTGGATTCCTGTATACTGACAAAAGCTGGCATTAACATTACACAACTACATCATACAAACCAATGAATGAAGATCCAATAATGACGACATTTTTGCCAGCAGCCTTTTCCGCAATTTGATTGGCATCCTCGGGAGTCCTCAGCTGATACACATTCTCTAGATCTGTCCCGGGGATTGGTAAGACCCGTGGACTAAAATAAAGGTCAAACCTCAGATACTTGTGAATGTGAAATGGTGTTCTTTTTAAGTTCTTAAAAATTTACCTTTGATAAGTACCTCAATTTTTCATATTGTTTCCCCGAAATGAGGGAAATTCGATTACAATTGAGTCTGTAAAATATTTTACAGTGAATTTTTAGCATATAATATTTTGCTTTATTCTATTTAACTGATTTAATTCATAGTTTACTTTTTTTAAGTAAACAATACTGTTTTAATTAATATAAAGTCTTATTATTACATAAAATAAAATAAATGTTTGATACACTGATTCGTCAAGAATAACATATAGTTGTCTAAATAGTCTTAGCTTAATCAAGGCCAATTTAATCTAACTTGACAAATTGTCTTACCGCCCTCCTGTTGCAATGACAAGTGATGTATATGACTCTGTACTGCCATCTTTGAAGCTGACTGTCTTGCATGATGTGTCTACTGCAGTCGCCTGAATATCATAAAACACAAGGAATAATTAATGAAATATCATACATCTATTCAATGGCAATGAGGGCAATATTAGTAAATTGTCCCCTCCCCTTTCCACAGTGACTGTCTACCAATTCAAGGTGTAGAAGCCTGCTGTCATCTGGATAGATTTTTTTTATTATGCATTTAGTATTGTCATTCTGTAGATTGTAAATCAATTTTTAAAAAAAAGTATTAAAAATGATTGATGTTTGGCTAAAAATCTCTCTGGACTACAAAGTTGTTCTGAAAAAAGTAACTTTTCAAAGCAATCAAATGTTCAACATTTTGTTTCACACTGATCAAGACAAAATCTGCCTCTTTAGAATGCTTAAGTAATAAAACAATCGGCACACTGACTGAATTTCTTTAACTGCTACCTACATGTACTTACAAATTGAAATGGTTCAGAACAATCAAATGTTCAACATTTTGTTTCACACTGATCAAGACAAAATCTGCCTCTTTAGAATGCTTAAGTAATAAAACAATCGGCACACTGACTGAATTTCTTTAACTGCTACCTACATGCACAAATTGAAATGGTTCAGAACAATGCTTAAAAATTTTACAGATTCAAATTTCCATATCCTCATGCTACATTATTAATTCACTGAGTAAGACTCGATCATCAAGTGAGGTTAATGGAGAACAATCAAATCCCATGGTCCAGGTGACCTCAAGTTGACACATGTCAGAAATACAAATAAATCAAGTGGTACCTGTTTCTGTTTGAGAATGTTGATGTCAGCTTTGGAATAGAAGTCTGCACTCCTGAGAGCTATCTTATCAGCTGTTAGGTCCATTGCCTGAAAATAAGTCATATTTATTATTTTTAATATGTCCAACTTTAAAATCTTCTCTTGGAGTTAAATTTATGACAAAATTACAACAGTTTAATAAATGCGTACTAAATACATGACTGTGAATTACTTTGAAAATGTATTATAGTCATCCTGTGATACAACTGACGAAAACCAAAATCGAAAAAAAGGAGAAAAGAAGAAAACCCAAGAAATTTTGAAACCTCATTTGGATATAAAAATGTTTGTATCAGAGAGTCAATGAACTCCAGTTAACCTTGCTAAGTTTGGGTCTGTCATAGGGAATGTTGTTTTCTTGTGTTGCTATGGTGATTTCCCCTGTAAACCCCTCTTGTCTCAGTGTTTCAGCACATGTCACAGATGAAGGTCCTGAAATTGTACACAATACCATATATTTGATAATTTTGGCATGCTGCAAAAGTTGGTTTATTTGGCTAATCAGATAAAAATGCCAAAAAATCAAGTGCCAATATTTCCATAAAGTTTAAACAGTTACTATACAGAGTATAAAAATGAAAAAATCCACCAATGAAAATATAAAACTGCCAAAATTTCAACTCCTTTTTAAAATACTGTCAATTGGGAAATAATCACGATGGTTTTAATTTCACTATGTTCATGATTCATCATTTTTCTGCGAAATTAAACCCATGGTGAATGCTATCATTAGTTTTTAAAAACGTTAATGCTTACACAAAACTTAAATTAATTTCTTCCAGCAGGACAATAAAACCATCACGATTAGTACTTTTTGAGAAATCATGAAATTTTAACACCATGGAATTAAAACGACTTGCAGTATCAAATGTACTGAATATTCCCAATGCCAAAATTACCTAATATACGGTATATAATCATTAATATTTACATTTGCTATTTTTTTCTGCTAAGCCAACTGTGGAATTGTTTTGAATGCCATTTTCGTGTATACTCAAGCATAGAAATATTCACAGAGAAACTTGCGCTAAAGTGTCGTCACAATGAGCTACAGAAACTTTAATAAAAATGTAACGATATAGGGCAGCGAATAATTCAAACATTGAGTATATTTGGTGCTTTTGAACATGTAAAATGTAAATATAAGGAATGTTTTTAAGTTTAGTGTGAATTATTGGTGTGCAAATCACACAGACTTGCATGTAGGCATATTTTTCATGAAGTGCTAAAGCGCTTCATGAAAGATGCCTACGTGACAAGTCTGTGTGATTTAAACACCAATAACTCACACAAAACTTAAAACATTCCTTAAATACATACATGTGTGTACTAAAAACAATTCAAACAAGAAGTCTATGAGCCAATGCTCACTTATAATACCCCCGCTCTGATGTGAATACACAAGTTCAGTTATGGACAAACACAATGATAATAAGGAAATTGACAATGGATTAGTAAAAAATGAATCCCAACATATGGCATGCCTAAACAAACATTGTGTTAAGATTTCAAGCATGAGATGAGTAGTTGCTGAGAAAACTGCGACCAAAATTTGTTATGTATGGTAAAGACAGATGCAGGGATAAACAGGAAGTTGACATCGGATTTGTACCAAAATGAATCCCATTATATGGCATGCCTAAACAAGATTGTGCTAAAATTTCAAGCATCTGCGATGAGTAGTTGCTGAGAAAACTATGACCAAAATTTGTTATGTATGGTACGAACAGGCACATGGATAAACAGGAAAGGGATAAACAGGAAGTTGACATCGGATTTGTACCAAAATGAATCCCATTATATGGCATGCCTAAACAAGATTGTGCTAAAATTTCAAGCATCTGCGATGAGTAGTTGCTGAGAAAACTATGACCAAAATTTGTTATGTATGGTACGAACAGGCACATGGATAAACAGGAAGTTTACATCAGATTCGTAAAAAAATGAATTCCACCATATGGTATGCCTAAACAAAAACTGTGCTAAAATTTCAAGCATCTGCAATGAGTAGTTGCTGAAAAAACTGTGACCAAAATTTGTTACGGACAGACAGACACACAGACAGACAGACAAACAAGGGTAAAACAGTATACCGTATAATTAACTGAGAGCTATCAAGAAATATGTCCTAATTCTTACCTCCACCTATGATAAGGACTTTTTTGTCACTGGGTTTTGCTGCTTCACACATTCTACGCTGGACTTTTGGATTAGCTAGTGCTGATTTGGCCGCAGTGACTTTAACCCTACCATCTACAACTTCAACCTGGAAAGTTGTGAGAAAGTCATTCAGAATGTTTTCAAAAAATTTGAAGTTCTAGAACAATACACAAATATCGTAATAAAATACAGTGAATCAATTTCAAGGGTAATACATGTAGCTACCACAAATACAAGAGAACACACACATGCATATACCTAGAACAGATCAACATTTTTTTCTCAAAAATCTAAATTAATATAAAGTAAATAGAAAAGGATAAGCCAATTTTTATTTTTACAGAATTACATGCACTGAAAACTTCTGCACTCAAGCTACACTCCTCCTGCATGCATTTGGTTTATCATGACTATGCAAACCATTTTTAATGTTTATTATTCACCTTGAACTTTGGAATGCTATCTAGGCCTGGGAAATCTTCAATATCCCCTGTTTTCACACTGAAGCAAGCTCCATGCCAAGGGCAGCGAACTCTACCATTACAGTAACTTCCATTGACAAGTTGGGCCCCATAGTGTGTACACTCAGATCCAAGAGCATGGAATTCTGACCCTTCTCGAACAACAAGGACCTTCCCATCACCAAGGTCAAACTCCTTCATCCTATGATTATAAACATCAAATTTTAAATATTATTTTTACACATGTACCTGTCAAGTCCAAATATGAATTCATAGTTATTTTTCATTCACTTCAAACATTTTTTTTATAATAGATAAAATAAAATCCTTTTAACTTATACAAATGAATGCATCATTGTTAGGTTGAACATGGAATGGGAAAATACTTACCAAAATGTGTCAATAAGTGTACAGAATCAACATCATTTTTTATTTGTATGTCCTCTTTATAAACAACTAAGAAGTGAATTTTGTACACTTTTTAACGATACATGTATATCTTATGAAATTCTCAATCCAGCAGATGTTAAATCGTCAAGAAATATTTGTAACTTCATATGTGATGCATTTAATATAAGAAAATCTGTGTGACTATATATTTGTTTACTGTATGTATGACTTGTGCCACATGTGGTTTTTGTCAAATTAAAATTAAATAAAAATAAATAAAAAATAAACTGAGTAATACTTTGGAATCATCACTGTTCAATGGGGTACCAATGTTCTTAAATTTTTTGGTTCATCCTTTACCATAAAATATTATCCCCAAACCATTTCTTTGTCAACATGTCATTTCTTTGAATCTTCTGTGTAAACATGTTACCCATGAAATTACATCCCCACACACCATTAAAATTTTGAATGCCCATTAATTAACATTGACGCCCACAAATTAAACTGATTCCACTGTGAGTATTCACATTCCACAAGAAATAACTTATCATGTGGTAGGTACTATGATTACTCACTCCCCATCCTTGAGATCAGATTCGTTACAGACAACTGCGGACACTGTGTCTGCCATATCTTCTACTGTATCCTCCTCCTGCTCCAGGCCAACACTAACGGTGACAATCTGAACTGGTTCTCCTTTGTCTGATTCCTCCTGATCCTCTGTCTATAAAAACACAATAATCAGTATTAAAGAATTCTTTGTCAATTTGCTGTAAAACATACTGGAAATTATTTCAAAGTGTGCGCAAGATTCCAGGTATTTCACTTAAGTTTGTATAAGTTAAATAAATCCCAGTTCCCAGAATTTGGAACATATGTTTTGATCACTGTTTTATGACCTTTTCCTGGAGATGACAATGTTAACACATTAATGGTGAAGTGTTTGTCTGATCATTAAAGATGTAATACATCTGTTATAAATGACAACTACCAGTCCTTAACTGCAGATAAGTCCTGCTGTATGCACAAAGACTAGCTATAATGAGAAATACAGCAACACTGTGGTCACTTTGAGGACTACATGTACTTGCCACTTGTAGTGCACTTCTTAATATACCTGGTGAACACTGAATATTAGATCTCATAATGTCTCCTAACTTTTGCCTCGGTTGTGTCTCCATGAAAATGATTAGTGCAAAGATACAGTTTTAATTCTAACTTCAAAATTCAATCAACACATCATAGTCAAATCATCAATCATGACAATTTTTCCATGCAGTTGGTTCACCTAATAATATCTCTGCAGTAACCTGCTAAAGATGTATCTTAGATTTTTCTTGTGTTACCTCCTCTGTGTTGTCTGGCTGTGAGTTGTCTTTGTTCTCTTCTGTTGTGGTTAATTCCTCTGTTGTGTCTTGTGGTACCTCCTGTGTGGTATCTGCTGGCTCCTCCTCTCTATTGTCTAGTGATGTGGTAGGTTCCTCTGGGGGCGGCTCCTCATTTGTGTCCTCAGAACATCCTTCTCTCTCCTCCTCTTCAGTATCCTTTACCTCAGACTCCTCAGCCTCTTTCTGATTCTCCTTCAAATCTTCAGCCTCTTTTTGAGGTTCCTCAGCTTGGATTTGAACTTCTTTGTCGAGATCCTCTTCTTCTAAAGGACCTTTTTCCAAAGTTTCCAATTCAGATTTCTCTTCTACCTGCTCCTCTACTTTCAGTGTAGTTTCCTCAGAGTTCACTGTTTTACTAGTATCAGAATTTTCTACACTAGTGTCATTAGCTTTTACAGAATCTTCAGAATCATCAATAATATGTGTTTCACTAGATTCCTCCGATTTTTTAGTGGTTGTAGTGTTTTGTTCACCATTCACTACACTAGAATTATCTTGAGCATTAGCACTATTATCGTTTGCTGGCTCCTCTTTGGTAACTGGGAGACTGGTTCTATTTATAGGTGTATTGTCCCCATTTTCTGATTTACCAGACGGAGAATTTATGGAATCAGGGTCTATATTTTTAGACGTCCTGGCTTCTACACCATTGGTTTTTTTGCTGCCAGACCTCTTCTTCACGGATTCTCCAGCTAAAAAGTCAAAGGACAGAGATAATAAGTTTTATGAAAATTATAATGCATGTTTATGTCATAATATATCTGGATTAAATCAAATGTTCCTATAAATACATGTGTTGCATGTATATATACTAGTACATGTATGTAATCTTGAGTAAAACTTGTGACATACCAGTATTCAAATACCGAGTACAAATTCAATTATCCACAAGGTACATTGTACTTGCATTAGACAGTTTCAGAGAAATCTTTGATAATCTGAACTTGAATATTTTATTTACACTCTTTCCCATACAAACATTTAACTAGATATGTCAGGGAGACAAGAATGCCCCCGTTGACATGCAAGTTTTAAATATGTGAAAGTCCAAGAATGTGAAAATGACAAAGGGTAGAAATAAAACAGAAATAAAGTATTATACTGCTACTTTTGTTTTCTAGAATCACTTGCCTGTACCACAACATACTTAAGCTGCATGAAACAGTGATCTCTTACAAGCAAAGCAATAATAAAAAAGGTGTAAAAAAAAAAAAAAAACAGTGAATAATTTAAATATTTGAAAGTCTAAGGGCCATAACTTTCATAAAAATAAAATCACCACAAAACTCAAACTTAATCTGCAAGTCATCAATATCAACAGTCAGGGGTGAGACTGAAAATCATCATTTTTAAAAATGATGATTTCTAGTCATAAACTTGAGTTTTAAAAATGACTAAAATTCATCATTTTGTAGAATAATGATGAAAAACAGCCATAACTATTTGGAGTTTATTTTAAAATATAGAGTTACTTCTAAAAATAAATATGACTGTATTTCATCATTTTTTATCAAATTGTTAGGTCTGGGCGCACTTAATTATCTCGTTAGTTTTATGGGGCGCACTAATTTATTTTGATTTCAGTTGTTTGTCAAGATGTTTCTCTACACATGGGTCCATTGCAGGATAGTGTACTATATCTTATTACTGTAGTAAATGGGTTGGAAAAAAAATCATGTGGAAATGGAAATATGATGAAAACAAGTCATATTTACAAACAAAATAAAAACATTTACATTATGTAGTTAGAGGAAATGACAATTATCAATCATTTTTAAATATGACGGATTTCAATCTCACCCCTGACTGATCAAGGGACACACCAAAAATCAGCTCATTATCTACAAGCAGAGCCAAAAAAGTCTGGAAAACAGTGAATTATTTAAAATTTTAAAAGTCTAAGTGCAATAACTTTCATAAAATTGGGTCAATCAACATGAAAATTGAACTTAATTTTAAGTCATCAATATCAAGATATACCCTGTACCAAAAATCAGCTCATTATATAGTCCAGAAAACTAACTTTGATGGAATGAATTTCATGATGGGGGTTGACATTTACAGAATGAATACTAAAATAATTGTTTATTATCTAAATATCAAGTTTTTAGAGTCATTGAAAATATGAATCAACAAAAAATTACTTAAAAAGAGACTAACAGGCATTGTTTTCATTAATCTTAGATTAAAACTTAATAAATATTATATAGAAATAAAGTTATGCATACTTTTTTCACACTATGAAACAAAATACAGATAAATATAATAGCTGTATATAATTTCTACCATATACAAAGCCTATACCTACCATTACAAATTCTGACTTCCTAGAGTAAAAACTTGGCACACATTTAGAGTAAGAGAGACCGTGTTTGTAATCTTTAAATACCCCTGATATCACAACACATGACAAGCGGCATGGGTCTGAGATGATATATCAGTACTTATAGAGAGAGATCATAAATTAGAACATGATAACAGAAACTGTAAATCATACAGCAGATTAGTAAATCACTACACAGTACTTGTATCCAAACCTTGAATGAACATCAAGGAATAAGCTAGGTATCAAAAAAGCTTTTTACCACACAGATATAAGATTTAAAAAAAAATAATATTAGGAAAAGAAATCAGAGTTAATATCAACATTATACAATTTTGTTGGAGATATATATATTATACTTATGTATAAGTAATAGTCATGTCCACTCTGGAGGGTACAAACCAGACTGGATTTTGGCTTAATAATAATCTTAAAAAAACTGTGTAGTGCATAATTGTTTATCAAGTGCTCTTTGGCAACATGTTAAATATCAATGATAGATTATTTTTTCAAGTAGTTCCCAGTAAGGACAATATCTGTTTTTGATGGTCTTTGAGTCATCATTTTTATAGTCTCTTTGATATTCCTATAGATCCTTATTCAAAACTAAATGAAAACTGAAAAAAAACTAAGTCTGCCTTTCTAGGTCAACATGGCCAATCTGCATTGGAAATTAATAAGTAAAAAAGTGAATAACAATACCCAAAGCAAATTCTAGTGTTGCAGAAAAATAATTGATACATGTATCTTGATAACATTGCACCACAGGCACCTGACATTACTTATTTTTCTTTTAATAAAAAAATATACCCCCTACCTAATAATTCAGGTAGGGGGTATATTTTTTATTAGAAGAAAAATAAGTAACATCAGGTGCCTGTGCAATGCACACATTAATGCATTATTCTTATATTGGAGTCCCTGTCAAACTCTTAATGTTCTGCATATACAGGGACAGGGATGATATATTGTACCCTGTTTGGGTACGTCATATATTGTCCTTTCGAGAGATGATATATTGTACCCTGCTTGGGTATATTATATATTGTCCCTTCGAGGGATGATATATTTCTTTAAGAGTGGTGATATATTGCTCTCTATTGCAGTAGACAAGCTAGGCTCTCAACAGACTGAGTAACCTTTACCGTTTCTTATATGTAGACACCAATAAAATATATACCTATCAAGTTATCAAAGACATGAGGCCCCTCTTCCCAGACCCAGCTGAGCTATATATGGTAACATAACATGTTTTGTAGTGTAAAGTTGTCAGTACATGTATATTCTTGTCATTTAATGCCTGACTAACAATGGCCTGATAGGAGTGTCTTTATATACCTAAGTTTATTACTTACACTTTCATTTGTACATGTACCGGTACATTGCAGGGATGCATTACTTTACCGCTACATTTTCAAAATTGTCATTATCGCCACATACTCATTACCGCATCATAAAACGAATTATTACCATGCCATTTATATGTGAACTTCTATACATATAAGACCTAGTTTTCCAGCAGCTTTAGTATATTTCTTTCTTTTTTTTAACATTTCTTGCAATGTAGCAGTAATGTGTTACCATATGGCAGATATGGTGTGAAAATATTTCTAACTCTTAATTTACATAATGATGGGGCAGTTATTAATATTTAGTGAAGTATTATACTACAGTCAAACCATTTTCTCAAACTCCATGGGACTGAAAAAAAACTTCAAGAAACAGTATCTGATGACTCAATATATCAAGGATAAAATACTTAAAGAATGAGTGGTGGGGATTTCCAAATCACTTCGACATATCCATGGTATTCGAGATATTGATGTTTGAGATATCAAAGTTCAACTGTATATATATATATATATATATATATATATATATATATATATATATATATATATATCCCATGTTTACCCCTTTATCCCGTGGATATGACTCATTGGATATTTTTTTCATAAACCACAGTTAAGTGCAGTTGTGACGTCACAATGGTTTTTGCGTTAGAGTGATGAAGTAAAATAAAGTGGAGTCCTATATAAAACAGTGTAAAACATTGGTTGTGAAGTATTAAACATGGGATAAAAAGAATCTCCCATGATTTGTAGTTGGATATGATTTTTATCCAACTAGTTGTGTGTTTTTTATCCCCGAGCCTTGGTAAATATATATAATTGTAAATCAAATTCCTTATCACAAACTAGACATTGATTCCTTAAATATATGGTTGTTTCCCCCCCATTTGTGCGCTAAATTTACAATGCACACCTGACTTTAAAATTTTTTTTATCTTTGCAGTTACTTTTAAATATTTCTCTACTTTAGAATTGCATTTCTATGTTCTATTTTGCTACATATGGTAACTAAATTTTCCAAGGATAATTAATAGATCATAATAAAATGATGTTCATTGAAAATAAAAAAAAAATAAAAGCCATCCAACAATTAGGGTCACAAAAGGGGAGAACGGCTTTGTATGGTCTCCAATGATTGGTCACGGTAATTATACAGTACTGTATATACACAGCCATGGGTGATTCTCAAAGGGTGCAGGTGATGCTAATTACTGTACAGACATGGATGTAAATGCATATTTAAGTTACATTTTTTTGGTAAGTTTTTAATAAATATATTGACCTTAGAAATATGAAAAAAAAGACAGCCAAGTAATTAAGTACAGTTTTAGTATTTGATACTCGAACGTTTGATCAAGTACCCGGTACTTGTTGACATCCCTATATAGGGCTTAAGTATTTACACCAGGAAATGGGAAAGACCTCATAATTTCCTTCCATAAATTTTAAATATAAGTCATGCTATTGATCACTCTGAATAAAATTTACAAATTTAAAAAATCTAGAGACCTAAATCAGTGTGTAATTAGCTTTGGATACAAAACACAGAAGCATTTACTTCAAACTTTGATGATCATCATACCATGCACCAAACAGGTTTCTTATCAAAGAATATTGTTAATGTACAAGACAACATAATATGTTTGTACTTATATAGATGTTTAATTCTCTCTGTATAAGATACACTAGAACCATTATCTATACACTGGTGGGTATAAGACCTATATTATATGGAATTATGAAGCAGAGCTGCTACATTTATCCTGTATCTAGCTGACAGGACCAATTTCCGCTACATTTATCCTGTTTCTAGCTGAGAGGACCAATTTTTGTTGTTTGGGACAAAGCTTTCCGATCTCCCTAGATTTTCAAGCTCATCGACTTACACTCATAGAAGTACAGTGTACATGACAAGTTTTCTATATTACGACTTATAATTTAGCATTTTTTTAAAGGACAGATGATACAAACTTTTTTCCCCCAAAGCCATGCAAGAAAATAACAACTAAATCTATGTTTACAAAAGGAAAATGAATAAGTTTAACTGCAAGTTTAATGGGTAACTGTGTAAAAAATATTTAGATTATAGTTGTTGTTTTTTTGAATCGGTAAATACAATTCTACTTTCAATCAGAAACCACAGTCAAGTATATATATCTTCCTATATAGGTTGCTCTGTAATTTTAAAATAGAGTTGGTAAAGTACATGCAAAAAATTGTTTTCTGAAAGAAAGATTCATATACAAGTAATTATGCCTATTACAGTCTGACTGTTTGTTAAGTAATATACTAAGATGTCAAAGATGAAGTGCTTTGACGTATGGAGCATTCTGAGATCAAAGGAAATCTGCTAGTTATCTAACAACAATGATAATTAGAGAACAACTCTTACACCAAAAAATGTCAAATCATCAATGTAAATTAATTGTAATATCACAAATTAATGAATGATTAGTGAGTCACCAATTCTGGATGGTTCACTTGATGCACAGACTCCCATAACAATTCTGTGTCCTAGACTTCAATGAGCACAAGATTTTCAACTTATTCAATAAATGAACAGATTTGTAAACCCAAGAAATTTGTGAGCCTCATTCAGTCTGTAGGTGACATCAATTAGGGGTGAGGAACCGACTCTACTACAGTTTATCTCCCTAGACAAATGTATCCTCATAAAGTCAAGGATTCCTATAAAACCATTACCCAAGCAGATAACACTTTAAAGGGGAAGGTAACAAAAGATTCATCTCATTCAAGTACATTTCTTATGAGATTTAATATAGTGAAAATAAAATCAAAGTATTTTAATTAGCTCATGTGTAACAGGAAAGGAGAAAATGTATGACTGGACCGGGAATCGAACCTGGGACCCCTGCATCACTAGTCAGGTGCTCTACCGACTGAGCTACCCAGGCCAATATCCACGGCCCAAACCATTACATTCCTCCTTCCTTAAATTGTCTTCGCCCTCGAAGACACAACCCAAGTTCTTAATATCCCCTGGCAGGACTTTCACCTGCAAGTCCAAGGGTGGTCAACAGTACCAAATCTGTAACAGGAAAGGAGAAAATGTATGGCAGGACCGGGAATCGAACCCGGGACCCCTGCAACACTAGTCAGGTGCTCTACTGACTGAGCTACCCAGGCCGATATCCATGACCCAAACCATTACACATGCAACTTTTTGCTGATAAAATACTGCTGATCGACATTTACTATATTAATTGCTTAACAGCTATTTTGTGTCAAGATAATGAAAGCTCAAAAGGGTACTTATATATAACAATAAAAAAGAAATCAGGTACAACCATCAAATAAAGTCTGCATGCATTGATGAACAGTTTTATATATCAGTAATAAGCTAATTTAACTGCCAAAAACCTATTTAGAACATAAAGAGTTATTTCCCTTATGGCTGCAAACCATACACTTCATGAATACTCTAAATTTCTTTGTTGGGTTAAATCTAGTTATATAAGGTATATATAGGAAAGGTCATCATTTCCTTACAGGTCACCTAATCCCTTCCTGATCTGTGTTTTAAGCCCTGGAGACTGGAATGATTAAGATTTAGACTGGATGAGTTGTCTGAGATTAGCATCAGAAACCCTCTAGACTGTTAGATATATATCTGTCACTTTAACCTTCACCACTTCATTAATTTACACTTGCATTGTCATTTGGTCTTTAATTTATGAACAAAATATAATAATGATCTCAGCCAAAGTTTTATCAGAGTAACAGTGATTGAAAAATATCACATGTCAATCAATAATTTGAACCATCAGAAAAATAAGTTTACTTTTTACAGCACAGCATCTGCAAATGTTACAATACGTAACAAAATTTTAGTTAAATCTGCATTATTTGAAAGCTCATAAAATCTTCATCCTCATGAGGCATTTTAAACATATTCTGTATTTAATTTAATTATGCATGCAAAAATTATGCAATTCTTTATCATTAGTAAACCAGACACTACAGAGTGTATACTCCAATGTCTGCATTTTCTAATTTAATCTAATGCTTGAAACATTGAACATTCTGCACTTTACTGCATTATTTATACATCCAGAGATTACATCTGCCTTCAGAAAAAATATCTTGGACAATAAAAAACAATGGAATCTATGTAATTTACACATAAAACGTCACATCAAGTGATACTGGTTTGTATTTATTAAGTCCTTCTCACAAGACAACTTGCAATTGATTGACCAAAAAACAATTCTGCATTTTCCTATCGAGGTATCTTTCAAGCATGTATTTAAGTTCATAGATCAGAACTGTATTTAAGGTTTGGCAATAACAATTTGTCTTAAAACCCAGTAATCTTGTAAAGGTTTCATAGCTATAGTTTCCATCAACATAATTATGATCTATAAATTACTGATGTAATTATACATGGCAATGCATTGTTACTTAACTATAAAAAAAATTTACATAATATTAAGCTACTTTATCATATTAAAAAAAAGAAATATTTACATGATAGTAAGCTTGATATTAAATGGAATGTTCATATGAAAGATTGCTGAAGAATCCATAACCTTAGAAATTATCCAAAAAAAAACCAACCAACAAACAAACAAATGAAAAGTCCATCTGATGAATAGCTGGCACATAAAGTGAAATACATGACAGTCATCATGGTCTACAATGGGGATATATGTATGATGAATGATCAAAAGAACAGAGTAAAATGAAGAAAACTGACTGACAACTTCACTAATTAGCCCAGTTGGATAAACCGATGAGATATATTTTTATATATCATGAAACGGGCATAAGTAAAATGCATTAAATTAATAGTTGTAAAATAAAACCCTCACAACGAGGACAATCTACAATCTGTAACCTTTAACTCTGAATTTGACCTTGAACTCAATCAGGTTTAGCATCTCACTGTCATGAACTAATGTTTGCCATCAAGTTCCATGAAGATGTGATATACCGGTACTGTGAAATCACCAATTTCATTGGCCAGGGGTTTAATTTTCATTGTTTTCATTTATGTCCTCCACAAAATGTTTAAAGTTCAAAATAAAGTATTAAAAATCTACTTCAACCATGAAATCAAAACTAATATTTTTTCCTCAAACCATGAAAATTTAACCCCACCAAAACAAGTGAATATTCTACAAAATATGTGAAAAGAAAGTGCTAAGCAGTGTTGTTGTATTGACTCCTATTAGATTACACATAAAGATATTGGACAGATTGCCTCCCATTCCATAAAGGACTTAGTTACACAAATGGATAAGGAATAGACCTTGATGTAACATCTCTTATTTGTGGGGTCAAATTTACGTGGTTTGAGGATACTGGGTTTGTGGGATAAGATTGTAGTTATGCCTATGACTTTTACATTTCATGGTGGACATGAATTTGTGGGTCTCTTCATACCTCAAAAACAACAAAAATTAACACCTCCCCCCCTTTGAAAATTAGTGATTTAGAGGTGATTTCACAAAATATGGCCATTCCTTAAAATAAGTGACATATACTATAGGTATTTTAGTGAAATAATTGAGGGATGTTATACCCATTAACACCCACTGAGGGAATGCCATATTCATATGAAATAAACACTGATTGCAGGAATTGTTTATTTTCTTCCTTCCAATTATTTACATAAGCCCAGCTTTCTGAAAATGCATGGAAGTGTTTCCACTTCACTTCATTTTTTATCCGTAAATCTAATCCCCTGTGAATTCATCCTAAACTGAGAGGGAAACCATCACAATCACCCAATGTTTGCAGATACTGATTATTTTGAAGGATATTTTTCCCATTCCATACAGGTGACACAAATCAGATATTCGTAATTAGAAGTGTTTACATTATCCCAAAAGATGCATTAAATCTTCAGTTAACAGAAGGAATATATATGTACTATCACATTATGTAGTGTACAGGATAATAATAGTGTAGTGCTTTAATCAGAGCTTCTTAATGGTTTCTCCAATGCAAATACAGTAAAACACGTTTATAACAAAGTGCCAGGGACAGAAAATTTTGCTTTCTTATAAACATAATTTGTTATATACGTTATGTTCAAAACATATTTTACTCGAGCTACGAAATGAAAATCACTTTGGTGTTAATGTCAATTCATTAATAAGCATGTCCACTAAAGCATGTTTTTACTGTACTAATGACAAAAGATTAAAAACCTCATTTTTTAGGTGAAAAATTTCCAACATGAAAATTGCAGCTATGATGATGATATTGCTTTTAGATTTTAAGTAACTAATTGTGCAATCAGACTTTTTGCAGATCCTTGTAAACCTGTCCAATACAATTCATATGAATGCCAGAAAATCATAATAAAAAAAACATGCAACTTTGTAAGTTACAGAATAAATGCATTGTGGAATATAACTTACTGAAGTCGTACGATTTAGACTGTCCCTTGCCCATGGTGATGTAGACAGAAGTTTAAATTCCTCAGCAACTCACAACATTCTGTACTAATCCCTCATTTCTGTGCAGTTTTCACAAAAAGTCATCTGAAAATAATAACAGTAACGTCACATTACAAAACATCTAAAGGTAAATTTTACATAATAACAGTGTACTGGTGCAGACAATCTGGGAAAAAAAGACCTGTCTGAGAACCTGGTATCTCTATAAGGAAATGCCACTGAAAGACACTATATATCTTAATAAACTTCCGTTATGAACACCTTTTTCCTGCTAGTTGATACACGTTACAAAAGTCCACAATATATAATACATATTGTTTGCACCTTTAAAAAAGAAGAAAAGCTAATGATAATAAGATTATTAAATGACCCATCTTTTGAAAGCGCTTTTGCTAATATATCCATAACAAAGTAAGACCAGCTGGATCATCAATAGAATCAGAGGAAAAAGCTATAGACTAATGAATCATCAGTGAAGCAAAAAGGCTTAAAAATCAACAGGTAATAAAACAGATCACAGGGTCACCATCGGATAACAAGCATTAAAAAAAATAACTGGACAGTCTAGAGGTTAGACCACTGACCATCGCTTCACTCTGTCAATGTGTCGGCTGGTTTGTTTGAGGGAAGGAGCTGTTTGTGTGGCAGACATAGGACTGATCACTGATCACATCTCAGACTGCCCCCAGCCATTACCTGGATCACCAATACACATTGTCACTTATTCAAGTGCAATTTACATGTTATTTTCTCCACGCTGAATTTTTTTTGTCAAAGTACCGGTACTTAAAGCTATTAAACAAAAATATAAAATGTTTCTACTTTTCTTAAACCCATTAGGTACAAAAAGTAAACCTTTAATAAAAATAAACATCAATTACTTACAAATTGTCTCCTGAGAGCCTTAGCTATGGGATTATTGTTATTTAAGGGCAATATACGAGTATGTATTTACAGACACCTTAGCAAGGTATGATGGTACAAATGAAGGTGAATAAGTCCTATGAATTCTCACACATGTTTTATAATGTGTCTGTATATAGTCTCAACCAACAAGCACAGAATTATGACAGTTCATTTGTCTTAGTCTCACAAAGTCATTAATACTAATTATTAAGCAAAATTATAACTCCGAATGAATCCAAAATTTTAACATAACTTTTTGCATGCAGATAATCTATATCAAATGGGTTTTCATCCTTAATCATACTGAAGTACACATAATACAATAAAATTAGAAGTGACTTTAAGGAAATATATGTATAAATAGTTCAGATAAAATAGCTTATTCTCTTTCTTCCAATAAAAGTAATTAACAAAATAAGAAATATTGTACAAATATGAATTTCTCACAAACCTAACGAGCACCATGAACATAATTCCCAGAGTAATGCACTGGTCTACTACACGTAATGATTATGAATTTGTCCTTGCACACTTAACATTACAGAGAATAACATAAACATGTCACCGCTACCATTTCCCAATGATTACGTGGTGAGAATTCACAGTCCACGGTCACAAAGGCGTTCCCCATCGAGACAGTCTCCAAACAATGACCACAACAATCTAGTGTTCCAAATTGCTTCATAATGACTTATACCAACTTGTAATAAACAAATCTGTTTATTGAATATGTACTAGCACATTTATACACCGAATTGCCTTAGTTGCTTATTTTCTCACAAGATTATGTTTTCCTGTATTTTTTACAGCATACATACTATACATGGCATATAAAATGTCCTTGGAGCAAGTGACAGTTAATTTGTACATTTATTTATAGTATCTAAAAATTTTTTTTCAGCATAACACAATTATAAGAAGATGGAGTAAACATAAAAATTCACCATAACATCAAATTAAGAAAAACTCAGATGAGTTATTGACTTTGTCCATCAGCTGCAAGACCCTACAATCTTTCTAAAAAAATTAAAATTTATATCTTATAAGTTTTGGAATGAGATAAACATGTAAAATTCTCAATTACTGGGTACATATTAATTCAATTATTTTTTGACATTTAAGGAGGCTGGGGGGTCAACAAATTAACCACAAATTAACCACCAGATTTAACTTAATTTTTTAGATATGATATCTTAAGCTGTCAACTATCATTTGGCAAAGAAAAATTGCAAAAATTTTAGTTTTAAAATTTGATCATTTTCTATATCTTCATATGGAGCTCTTCTTCTAAAGGAGATCAATATAGTCTAAAAATGGCCACAACCCCCCCAGCCTCTTTAAGTAACACATTCCTCTGCCATTTTTCTACATTTAAACTCTTTGTAAATTACTTGCACTATATTTAAGGTGTGCCAAAGAATTGCGGAAAGTGATGTCATTATAGTGTCGATAAACTACACTCAAGAGGTCCATGGGCCATTTCGCTCACCTGAGCACTTTGGTTAGAGAAAAGCTGAGAAATAATTAAGTATTGGAAAGTTTGTAATATACAAGTGGTCCCACCCTACTCCAGGAGGGGCAGGGGAGGGGGTCATGATCTGAACAAACTGAAATCTACACTACCTGAGGATGCTTCCATATAAATATGACTAATCATGTCTTTGCTGTTCTTGAGAAGAAGATTTTTAAAGAATTTTCCTACATATTCCTATGTCAAACTTCATTTGATCACCCACTGTGGCCCCACCCTACCCTGGGGGGTCATGATCTGAATGAAATGAATCTACACTACCTGAGGATACTTTCACATAAATATGACTTATCATGGTTTTGCTGTTCTTGAGAAGAAGATTTTTAAAGATTTTTGTATGTATTCCTGTATGTATATAAAACTTTGACCACCCATGTTGGCCCCACCCTAGCCCCGGGGGTCATCATTTGAACAAACTTAAATTTTCACTTTGTAATGAAGCTTTAACATATGTTTCATCTTCTCTGACCTAGTGGTCATTAAGAAGAAGATTTTTAAAAGATGCCATAAATTTTTCAATAATTCTTAATTATCTCCCCTTGAAAGAGGGTGTGACCCTTCATTTGAAAAAAAAAAAAAAAACTTAATTCCCCCATAACTTTTGTAAAAATAGGTCAGATATCACAAAGCTCAAACTTGCTCTATAAGTCATCAATATCAAGTAACATTCCAATAATCAGCTCATTGTCTACAAGCATAGCAAAAAAGCCCAGTGAATTATTAGAAATTTTCTTAGTACCATGAAACTCAAACTTCACCTCACTAAATCATGAATATCAAGTAACATGTTAAAGATTAACTCATTATATATGAGCATAGCATAAAAATGTCCAGACAACTAATTATAAAAGAATGGTGGAATGACAGACAGGAAGAGGAAACACTATATGCCCCGGCCATTTCATGGCAGAGGCATAAAAATCTAATCCACTTTACCCAAGGATACTCTGTATTCAGTTTGGTTGGAGTTACCCCTGCGAGAGTATCAAGAATAATTCTTGAACTTTTAAGAAAAGTTCATGAATTATATTCTTGAATCTGCTCATGAAATATTCATGAAGATCCTATGAAGTTAAAATTGGACACTCATGATTTCATGAATTTTATTCATGAAAACCAAGTTCAAGAATATTCAAGAATAGTGGGTTGTTCATGAATATACTTGCTACTCTTGAAATTCATGAACTTGCTTGAAGAATTCATGAAATCATTATAAGTGTCCAATTTTAGCTTCATTAGATCTTTCATGAACATTTCAAGAACTTTTTAAGAATATTATTCTTGAATTACATAATTTGACAGAAGGCTAAATTGGCAAAACCACTGCGAGTACCCTCAAAATACATGTACATAAACATTCTATTCAAAATTTGATAATATATAAATAATGACTACAATATTCTAAACTAAATGCTATGTATTAATTCACTGAATTTATAAATGTATACAGCTTTTAGCCAACACACTCTTAAACAATAACATGTACAGCCTGGATCAGTTTCAGAATTTTAAACAACGCTTGTGTTCTTCTTTTGGCATGTTCAAGGAAGTCAGATGCCTGTAGTGCATTTGTTATCCCTGTCAACTTTGCTTCTTGACATTCCAAAAATGAATTTTTCTCTATGGGTGTCTGCTGGATCACTCACTAATTTCCAAAATTGAAATCCATCCTTTAAATAATGAAGTTTTTTTTTTCTAGCTCTTTTACAATAGGCCTTGTTTTTCATTTCACTCTACCTGAAAATACATGTACATGTATATAAATAATATGCCAAATAGAAATAAATATTACAGGGAACAGGATACTTTTAAATAATATGGGAATTGTGGTGATGCTGCAACTGGAGGCCAGAAAAAATATAGGAATTACCTGTCTTTTATACAGAAGACTTGGTCTTTAATTTATCAAGAGTCAGGAATCCTCAGAGACGAGTCAAATTCAATTTGTTCTAATCTGGAAAGAAAATTTAAAAATGATTTTAGTTTCAATTTAGAATCAAGTTTCCTTTTTTTCTTCAAATTGAGCTAGTCCATGGGCACACAGGGGTATGTAATATGCCCCCCCCCCCATTCCATTTTTTATTATAAAATTAAAAACAAAATATTCTGAGACCAACACACACAAGTTTTTTTTTTAATTTAAAATATATTTCATTAAATTCATTTCATTTAACAATAACTTAAATTATATTTCTCTCCGAGTTATTTTTTTTAAATCACGTTTGTTTAGCATGCATGCATTGATGCAACAAGTGTGCTAATCAACAAATTTGGAACCAAAATAATTAAAGAATTATGTTCTTACCACATGCTTTCTGTATTGCAGTCCTTCCTTTCAATGAATATAATAGTTAACACTCCATTAAAAAAATGTTGACAGAATCTAGATCTATCGACAATCTTCTGACAATGCAATGCACATCTTCCTTCCTTTCAATCTATTGAAAATTGGCGCTCGCGTAACTGCTTAACTAATCAGTAATGATGTTATAAATCAACTACCAGAAGCGTCCAATCAAACGACGTTTTATAAAAACTATTGAGGTTGCGATTCAAATTAATAGGCAGCCAATGTATTCTTGTTTGGGGTACCTTGATAAAAAATGATAAACAAATAGGCCTAGTTAATCGTGGACTGGTACTATTA